TCTTTGAAGACTGAAGAGGAGAAGGAGGAGGAGGGGGAGGAGGAGCCTATGCAAACTGGCTACGGCACGGTTATTTCTAGTTTCAACAAAATCACGTGGAAACAGGCCATTCGTATTCCGCGTCAAATACTCGGAAACGGACAAAAAACTAAAATCAAATCAAATAAAACCTAATACGATCTCTATATCAAGTATATCAAGTCAAGAGGGCACTGGCACTATGTTCTCTCTCTCCCTCTTCCTCTCCCTCTCTCTCTATGTGTCTCTTTTTGATTCTGCAGCATTTGGAACGGGTTTTGAGTTTTCTTTTCATTTCAATCAATTTCATTGGCAATGCTCACTGATAAGCCCCAACTACGCATCGCTTTAATCATCAACATTCTTGTCGTCGTCGTCGTCGTCGTCGTCGTCGTGATTGTTGTTGTTATCTTCAGAGAAGCGTGTCATAATCTTAAATTCCATGTTGTACGTTCTTCGATGTGCTGCAGGTTATCAATTGTCAACGGCAAGTGGGCCGGACCCAACAACTCCGGCCCATTGGCATTTCCAACTGCGTAGAACCCGTAGAACCCAACCACTCGACGCAACGCACCCTGCCCCACATATCGCAATCTTAGGCTCTATCTCATTAACCCTCCCCTCCCCCTCCTCTCTTTCTCATTGATGTAAGTCGTTGCGCTCGTTAAACAATAAAAAAAAAAACTAAACATTTTGTACTTGAATTAAGTACAAATGTTTGCAAAACCTGACCGTACCCAATTCTTGTTTCAAGATCTTTCATAATTTCAGTTGATAAACTCAAACTAAGAAATTCCCTATGCTTGAGGCTTATTTTAAGCTTATGTCTTCTAGAAATATGTTTGGTTTTACTTGTCTTTAGATTAATTTACTTATAAAGAAAGTTGTTAATTGCAAACTCAGTAGAAAACTGAGTAGAGTTTAGTCAAGCTCAAGACATTTTTGACTTATTTGAAGCATGTAAATTCTTGTTAGAAATAAATGCTACTTAAATTAAGTACAAATGTTGGCAAAACCTGACCGTACTCAATTCTTGTTTCAAGAACTTTCATAATTCCAATTAATACACTCAATTTAGGAAATTTTGTATTTTCTTGGAGCGAATTTTGAGTCTCATTTTAAGCTTATGTCTTCTTGAAATAGGTGTTTTTTACAGACTTTTTTAATTCTGAAATTTGTCACTAAGAAAACTTGGCAGGAAACTGAGTAGGGAATTGCAGACTTATTTGAAGCAAGAAAACTCTCGTAAGAAATATTTCGTACTTAATATATGCAATTTTTTCTTATTTTATCTTTATTTTGCAAGGCAAGCATGATTCATATTTTATTCCAGAATATTCAAGAGACTTTTTTGAATATTTCAAAAATCGAATCTAATTTATGCAAAGTTTTCTCATTTAACTTGCGAGGCAAGCATGAATCATGCTTAATTTAAGAATATTCCAGAGAATGTTTGAAATAATTCGAAAAAATCGAAAATGAAAGTATATCGGATTCATAATTTAGCTTTATTTGTGAATATTTAATAGAATGGCAATTTTTTAAAAAGGTAACCAAAATTCGAAGCCAGCATTCATAGCTGTGTTTTTCTCTCAGTGTATCAATGTCAGCCTGCGATAAGAAAGACGTCCACAGATGCAATATTGCATCTTACCCCCCACCCCCCCCTCCTCCACCCAGCCCCCTTACCCGAAACGCTGTCCGTTTGCCAAGTTGATTGGCATTTTGTGGCAGTTTCTTTGCTGATGCCTCCGGCCGCTTATCAGACTCTTGACGTCAGCATTGAATTGATCTTCTTGGTCGGCAGGTCACATCGCCTTCAGCGCCTTGGACGACACCTCGCACTCGGTGCACGTGTACAGCATCAATGGGGCCAGCCTGGGCTCCAAGTATGTCTCCGGCCGTGTGACGGGATTGGCCAGCGCCTCGGACTATCTGGTGGTGGCCGACGATGCCGGCGACATAACCATGAGTCGCCTGCACGGGTGAGTCCGAATCAAATCCCAACTAAAACTAAGCTAATCTTAATAACGTTTTCCAGGCTGAAGCCCGTCTTTGACATTCCGCTGCATGTGCCCATCCAGACCGTGGTCGTTACGCCGGGCAACACGCACATCCTGGCTCCGTTGCGGGATGGTCGCCTCGCGGTGGTCGCCGTGCAGCTGCCCCTCGCCGGCAGCAAGAAGCATTCCGTGCTCAATGTCTAGACGAACTCCGGAGCAGATTCTCTGCCCGGCAAGAATCAACTTTTGTCTCTTTTTGGCTAGTTTTTTTTTTCAGTCACATTTTAATTCTTGGAATTTGCGCATATTTGTCGTATTTGTTCATAATTTGTTTTTATATATATATTTATTTTCATGTCGTTACGTGCCAAAAAAAAAAAAAAACAAAATGGAAGAAAGAAAAGTAAATGGCCAAAAAGCGGGCCAACATGTTAGGTATCTGCCGTTGGGTTCGCTTCAAATATATACATATACATATATATAATTTTAATTAATGTATCTGCAAGATACTCGAATTCCAATTAGCCTTAAGCAATTCCCTTGAAATCTAGCTACACATCATACCCAACATCCTATACCCTATAGCATATATACTGTATTTCGTATGTACCGAATACCGTATTCCGTATACCGTATACCGTATTTCATATATACCGTATGCCGTATTCCACATATACCGTATACCGCATACCGTATATACTGTGTACCGAATGCCGTATACCGTATACCGTTTACTGTAGACCGTATTCCATATATACCGTATAGCGAATACCGTATACCTTATGTACCCAACACCCTGTACGCCATACCCTATCTATGCAGCATTTCTTTTGATTGGCAATTATTCAGTCGAGTCGCTTGGCTACGTGGGGCTTCGCGCGCGCCTTCCAATTAGCTTGACAAATTCGTATAAATCATTTATCATTAGGCTGACGGTTTTTTTATTTCTTTATTTTATATATAAATTAGCACATACGTGCCGTCAAACTGGTTGCCGGCAAGTCAACCGGCTGTCTTCCCCTCAGTCCCTGCTCCACCATGCCCCATGCCCCACGCCCCAATCTCCCCCCTCTAGCCCGCCTGCCATTTCCGTTTGCCTCTGCTGGCTCGTATCTCAGGCATCTGAGTCACGCGCGACTTTCAAATTGGCCCCAAAATCTGCCCGGCAACAGCGCGAGGTGGCGGCAGTTCAGCCCAGCCAGGCAAACTGGGGCCAAATGCCGTATTTTTTGTTGCTTACAAGTGGGAAACTTTCGTTGAGAGCAAAATGTATCTGCAACTGCAACTGCAGCTGTATCTGTATCTGTATCTCTCCCATTGACAACAAGTATTATCCTAAAATTAGAGTCCGTCCACGAATCCAACTAAAAAAAAAAAAAAATTGCTAACGAATACGAATTTAAAGTTTTGCCAACAAATTCCTTTCGATGAGCGACGTTTTTTTTTTTTTCGTATTTTTTTCTTTTGGCCTCGTGCCAAAAAGTTAGTGCAAACCCTTTTAGCCCCTGGCCCGAGACAACCTTTTCCATTGACAAGTGACAATATACAAAAGAGGATCGCTTCGATCCGACGCAAAGGTTTTGCTTTCCGATGCCTTCAACTTGTTAAAAGCGCACAATCAGCACGTAATACTAGAGATTAGCTACTAACTTTGCCTAACTTCAACTTCTTTTCTACAAAATACTTAAAACACATCTTAACTAAATGCGATAATACACTTAAACAATTTAGTTCCAATTGCGAACATTAGCATCTTTTTAACTAAATACTTATGTCAGGGCTGCAAATCGATTCGTAGTACTGGAGATCTCTAGAGATCCTGACTAATTGAGCAATTGTTGAGCAATCCACGCATCAAAGCGAAAGATAGGTGGAAATGTCGCATAAATTTAAGAAGAAGACTCTTTCAGCTACGTATTTAATGATGTTCGATCTTGGACAGATAAATCATTTTGTACTCGTGCAAAAATTTGAAGCAATAAATGTTTACTGATTAATTGTTTAGCAATCCACGTAACAATGTGAAAGAAAGGTGAAAATGTCTCCAACTTGATTTAACATTTAGAATTTGATTTATACAAGTTGAAAATTTGATATACTAACAAAATCGAAAGCCTAGCCGAATTTTCTGCTGATTTTTGGCTTATCCAAACCGATTTGCAGCCTTGACTTATATACATATATCTATATATAGCTATATACGTACAGGCGTTTGCTCGTTATTTGTTGTAAATGAAAACAAAGAGTTCTTCGAGTTTAGCTGTAGTTCATAATATCACACTGTATAGATTGTATTGTACGATTTATCAATAAAATGTTGAGAAACGAAACCAAAAAGAAGAAAACAATTACAATTGTTTTTCTTTTATTATTTTATTTGTATTTATTCAAAAAACAAACACTTTAAATTAATTCAATTAGCAGTATATAAAAATAAAAAAATATTTAAAAAAAAAACATAATTCAGTTCAATTAGCTTATCGAAATAAAACATAATATGATGGTATAGGTAACTCTTCTGCGTTCAATATATAGGGTATGTGTGTGTGTTTTGTGTGTGTAAAATTAAAGACTGTTCTGTTAACCCAGTGAATACTTTATCGTATGCGAATATATAGATATAGATGTATGTGTGTGTGTTTGTATGGACGATGCTGGTTCAATAAATAAATTTGTAGAAAATGAGAACGTGTATTCGTGAATTTATAAACTCGTGAATTCGTAAACTCGTGAATTTATGAACTCGTAAGATTATGAACTCGTGAATTCATGAATTCGTCTATTTGTGAATTCGTGAACTCTTGAATTCGTGAATATGCGAACTCGTGAGTTCATGAATTCGCGTATTTCTAATTTCGCGAATTCATGATTTCGTGAATTCGTGATTTCATGATATCGTGCACTCGTGATTTCGTGAATTCGAGCTGAATTTGTAGATTGATTGGTTTGGTGGTTTGTTGGTGGTTTGTTGGTGGTTTGTTGGTGGTTTCTGGTTGGCTCATAGCCACACATATATTAAGTAACGGCCAATTAATTAACGTTAACTAATGTTTCCTTTTTGTTTTCTTTTGCCTGAATCGTTAGGAACAATCATTGCTACTTACATAACGAGATTTGTTTACCTGACGCAAACTAAAACTAAAAATTAATAATAAGTATAAGAACTTAAACAAATATTAGTTGTGCGGCGGAGACATGGGGGAGGCGAGGGGAAACTTGATATATTCCCGCATTAAATTAGTATTCGTAAATTATTCGATGTGGAAAGAAGAAGAGGAAAACGGTGCTTTTAAGATTAAAGTCTAAGCCGGCATTAGATTCTAGAGTTCAACTTAGGGCTAAACTTTGTCGTTTCTCCATTTTTTTTTTTGGGTTTTTCCTATTAGTTATGTTTTTTTTTTTTTTTTTTTGTTTTTTATGTTTTTTGTTTTGTTTTGTTTCTTTGTTTTCACGCATCTTCAAAGGCATTTGATCTATCTAACTAACTAAAAATGTGGTTTCGTCAATCCAATAGCCTTGTGTATGGAATCTTTAGTCTTGTTCCTTCTGCAATGAGTCCAAGGTGGGGAGAGGGAAAAATCCAAATTAGAATTTGAGATCAAATACAGTTGTAATCGATTTATCGAGTTATCGATTTGTCGAGTTATCGATTTGTCGAGTTATATAATTATCGATTTATCGAGTTATCGAGAAATCAATTCATCGAGTTAAAGTTTTATCGATGTATCGATTTGTCAATTGATCGAATCAACGACTTATCGATTTATCGACTTGTCTAGTTATCGATTTATCGACTTATCGATAGATTGTGTTAGATACTTACAAGTACGGGGTAAACGAAGGTATCGGCCGAGTCGCGGCCAACGGCATTATGCGCTATACACTTGTAGTTGCCCATATCCTCCCATTTGAGATCGGAGATGAGGAGATCACCGGTGGGCAGCACCTTGAAACGATGGCTCTGCACGATGTCCTTGTCCTCGTTGTTCCTCCAGGTGATCTTGGCATGGGGATTGGCGTGCACCTTGCAGGGCAGCATTACGCTGGAGCCCATCAGATCGAGATGCGTTTTCTCGGTGTAAATGATACGCGGCTTCTGTGGACCCGGATACTGTTTCTCGGGCACAATCAGACCGCCCAGCTCCTGATCGGAATGAGCCGGATACACCTGAGTGCTGGCATAGATCGTCTTGGAGCCGGTGCGTCCAATGCAGGTATAGGTGCGCGGTCCGCTCAGCATATGATCGACAATGTGCACGGATCGGACGCGCACAATCGCCGAGGGCGCATCCTCCGAGAAGGTGTTGGGCGCCAGATTGTCAATCTCCGAGAGCGGCACACGGCCGACGACCCACTGAATGCTCGGCACCTGGGAGCCCATCATCTCGCAGGCAATCTCCAGGATGGCGCCCGGTGCCTGTTGGATTTTCGTGGGCGGCGTCTTGGTGAACTTCAGCCAATCCTCCTCGAAGGCGCGAGCACGACTGTGCTTCGACTGGGGCGACTCCGGCTCCGGCTCAATGGAGTTGTCCACATCATCGTTGCTCTCGTCCACGATGTCCACGGCGCGACACTGGACGCCCGAGAGGCTGCCAAACAGCAGCAGCGCTATAGCGCACAGATTTAAGTTCATTTTCTGCAAGGAGACAAGGACAGGAGGCGTGTCTTAATGATACTGGCTGGAGACGGAGGATTAAAGTTCAAAATCACACGACGCGACTCAACACGACTCGACTATAATATAGGTTAATAAACCCACGATGACAGCGCACAAATCATTCTCCTCATCATCATCGTCATCCACATCATCAATCTCCTTATCAGTTATCAGCCAGGCGAAGTCCCGGGCCAGCTTTAGCCGAGGCTATAAATCACAATGTCGACTGATACCGCCTCGCTGTGGCGATCAGGGCCCCTCAGACTGTACCTCGACTATTGCGAAATATTTCATAGTATATGAAATTCTGATAAGAATTTTCTTTCAGGCATTTAAGAAATAAATGCCATTTGTATATATTTGAATTGCATCTAAAATTCACTTCATCAAATATTTCTTTTACTTAATCCAAACTCTTCGAGTTTAAATGAACTGTTTATCAGTCTTTCTCTCTCTCTCTCTCTCCCACTCACTCTCCTTCTCATTCCTTTTCTCCCTCTCTTCATTGGAGATCTGCAATTCATTTCAATAAATATTTCCTTTGCTTATGCCAAACTCTCCAAATTTGAATTCCTTAACTCTCCTGTTCTGCCACTCACTCTGCTTCTCTTTCACTCTCCCGCTATCGCTCTCTCGCTCTCTCTCTCTCTCTCTCAGAAGAAGTTTAATTGCCGGCGATCTTAGAGCGTGACTTTGTAAGTTGCCTGCCAGGCGAGATAGCCGAGGTTCGAATCCTGTTAACTACACACAACGTTTTCTGTATTTTCATTTTTTTTTCCATTTTTTCAGGCTTGTGGCTTTCCATTCACATTCACACTTAACCAAAAAAAAAAAATAGACTCAATTTTTTCAAGTCCAAAATAAAGTATTTTAAAAAATTGTAAAACAAACTCAAGAATTTACTTTGAATAAAATCGACAAATCGACCAATTACCCAAGTTTTTCCTATTGCATCCTTTTTGAGGTGAGGGAGCTGCGGATTCCACCCCTTTTCCGCTGCCGTATCGAATCTTGCGTGGAAGATGTTGTGACCGTTCGACTGGCCAATTTCACAATATCACGCGGTATGGGACACCGCAAATAGAACGAAACGATGATTAATTGTGGCGGACATGGGACAAAGAACTCACGTAGGCAGCACGGGCGGCATTTAAGTGGATCAGAGAACCAAAAAGTATATACATACATCGAAATTGAAATCACATTTGGTGTGACGTCAGCTCCTTGTACGTAGCACGCCGCCCACGCGCCATGGATCAAAGGCCGCACATTGGGTTGCCAACACCGACCGTGTATACCCTACCCTAACAAGCGAAACGCCGCGAATCAAGTCGCTTCGCGTCGCATCGCATCGCACGTCTAGACAAGGGCGTGACCATTGAGTTATTCAATAGGTTCGACGTCGTCGATTTGGTCTATTTTGCATATTATATTATTGGGTAGAGAGGTGGACAGGGGGGGAAGGGGGTCTCTCACCGAGTACCCCGAGTTTGTCTGGCGTTTTGCTGGGCGAGTGTTGCATCAGAAAATTTGGACTCGATTTGCCCTTCGGAGTGGGTTTTTTTTTTCATCGTTTTTTTTTTTTTTTTTTGCTGATTTGCTGAATTTTTTTGAAATTCATGAAATACGTTTTCGCGGAATTCTCCACTTTATCAGGTTGTCGACTATTTGGCATTGAAGAGGCTCGAGGGGTGGTTCGTTCTGTAGTTTTTTGTGTTTTAATTTGTTGAACTCACCTTTTGAATTGATTTCTTTTTTCTCTTCCGGTAAAAAATGTTTGCAAATTTCTCCCTAACTGGGTGCCGTAAAATAACGATGGGCGGTCGCGTCTTCTTCACTTGTTCTAGTTGTTGTTGTTGTTGCTGTTGTTGTTGTTGGTGTTGTTGGTGGTTCGATCCGCGAACTGGTTGCAAGCTCTTTGTTATGTTATGAAGGAGTTTATCAGCTCTAAATTGTGATGGCTTCGGGTTTGGGCCTTCTGATTGAAATTCAGCAGCAATTGAGTTAACACTGACATAGGTACGGCGCGGTTTGCCGTTTTGGTAGCGTTGCAGTTTAGTTTTGGTGAAATTTTGATTGTTTTTCTTTATTTTGCACGCAAATGCGCTCGATTGTGATTCGGTTCAGTTCCGGTTCCGGAGCGTTTTATAAAGCGTTTAGCAAAATGTTCTCTTCACTTCTCTCTTCGCTACTTCTTCTTTTTCTTCTTCTTCTTCTTCTTCTTCTTCTTCACTGTGCCTTAACGTAGCGTATGTCCAGCTGTCGGCCTGGGCACATTCGTATCTCTCTCTCGCTCTTTCTCTCGAAGAGTTTGTTGGCAACGTTGTTTGGGGGCTTTTGGGGTAGGATTCAGCAAGACTCCTTCTTGGTGGCAACAGCTAGTTGTGGTTTCTTGGCGCGGCACTCTTTCGAATACGCACGGTTCATCGACATTACAAGTCAAAGGTGTATGTGTGTGTGTGTGTCGGCTATGTCAGCGGCTTTGGCTGCTTTCAATTTTCTTTCTTTACAAAACGCGCTTTGGTGTCGACCAACAAAAGAAACGGTAAACGTTGACGTTGACGTTGCAGTGGAAAACGAGTGGCAGGCGCAAGCGTACACTTAAGTTGTGTTCAACAGCTGAAAACTGTCACAGAACTGATTCGGCAACGGCGCCGACTTCACTTTTATACGCTCAGCCCAGAGCTGGCGACGCCGGCGTCGCAACGTCGCAGCGCTGCCTGTTCGCTCGCTCCCTTATGCGCGCGCTCTCTCTCTCTCTCTCTCTCTCCCACTCGCACGCTCACCCGCTCACCCGCTCTCTTTTAGACAGCTCGCTGCGGCTGCGGCTGCTGCTGCCGCCTTGCCCCTCTTCGTGACTGAGGCTGGGGTTCGTGCACTTCGGTTTCGGTTGCGGTTACGGTTCGGGCCACGAGATGCTCGAGATTCACAAATTAAATGCCATCGCTGATCGAGCCGGAACGAAACGGTTTTTGGAACCGGCCCAAAGAACAGTTCATTTTTCGAAGAACATTTTTATTTGGCAGTTGTTTGATTTGAATGCAGTTTGAGTTGCAATTGCAAAGTCAAAGTGGGAACACTTTTAACTGGGTACAGTTGCAATATGGCATGACCCGCGCACTTTCAATTCCTAGCCAATAGTTGTTTTACCCTTGACTCAATGCAGTCGGAACCAGTTGACAACGGACAACAATTCAAATGTATGGCAATGCGTACACTGAGCGAAAAAAGAACCAGTACCCCAGTTCCCGTATATGTGCTGCAATTGTTGTGTTTGTTTGAAACGATAAACTGAATCTAAATGCAGGCAGTGAATCGTACTACCTAAATTTCTATACCTTTCTGATTTCTTTGCATTGGTTTTTTTTTTTTTTTTTGCAGTGTAGCAATTCTTGTGCTGCTTCTTTCTACCGCATTCGTACGTGCCAGGCGGCATGGCTTTTTGTCGACTGCGGCTGCGGCTGCCCAGGCGAGCAGCGCGGCTTGGTGCAAGGTTTCCATTAGCCGCGACCCAAGACGCGCTTGTTCGCTGTCTGTTTGTCTTTCCCCAATCCTCACCCCCCCCCCCCCCCCTCCTATCCCTGTCAGTTCCCCTTCCCCGCTCCTTGCACTATTCATTGCAATCAAGTGAGTGCCAGTTTGTCTGGTGCGATCGGTCGTCGTTTGAGGGCAGCAAAAAAAAAAACCACAATGCAAGCGGCACTGATTGCCAGCCCGGCCCAAGCTAGCTTCGTGAGAGGGGGAGGGTGAGGGGCTGGGGGGGCAGGGGCAGCCACAATGGCAGACAGACTGGCAGCAATTCAACAGATCGCGTGTTCGCTTTGCGCTGTGTGTGTGTGTGTGTGCGAGTGTGGGGAGGGGCAGAGTGGAGGGGGCAGGTAGAGCTTGTTGCTGGGCGGCAGCCAGTTCATGTTCTCCTCTCCACGCCCCGCCCCCCTAGCCACATTCGTTGCGCTGGCTGTGACTAGTTTTATTTATTTGTCGGCAAGTTCTACGCGAGCAATATATATTTAATGCCCATTACACAAATCGCACCGCGACACGCCCTCCCCCCGCCCACCCTCCCTCCCGCTCGTTTTTTTTTTGCCACATTTGGCAGCTGGCAACGATTGTCGGCGAAATTCAATTGAATGATATGTTGCAGGTGCTCGAGCTGATGTCTCGTGCCGCCCAGCCCTTTGGAGACGCAAGAGACGGCACGGCACAGCTCAAAGACGCGGCTACGTAACAGCTTGACGTAAGGGCGTAAGATGGAAGATCGATAGATCAGCGAATCGATCGACATATTTGCTATCGATTCAATTAACAGCGCAGCGTTGGGGCCTTCATTGATGTTCCAGGAAAACGCAGTCGCAATACGAATGCAATACACTGAGCGAAAAAAATGCCTATACTAAATGGATTTCCTAGATATCTAAAATCTAGCACATTCGGTTCTCAGATATTGCCAAGCAGAAAGCAGATATCCATAAACTTATATGCAAAGGATTTTTGGCATATGTTAAAATATTATGTTAAGAAATATGTTAAGTGTAAAATACTTATTACCAATTTTTTGTAGGCTTCAAATAAGTTCAAGTAGAATAAAAATACCAGTACATTTCGTTCTCGGATATTGGATTTTGGAATCAAGAACTTATATTGAAAATATTAAAAACGTCTTGATTTAAGTGAGAAATAGACTTAAATAAAGCAAAACACATACAAAAATGCTCTTTGCAAACATAACAATTAATCGATTGACTATCTAAGCCTTAGGTTTAGGTACTTTATGCAAAAAGTTCTTGAAATAGGAATGTGAAGCTAGAATCAGGCTTTCACACTTAAAACAAGCATTTGTAGGCTTAAAACAAGCCCAAAATATGCTCAACGCAAGCAGAACCGTTTGAGTACTTGCAGCTTGACTGGCAAAGTACTTGACTTTTTCGCCAAGTGTATCAAGACAATTGCCCAAAATGAGCTCAAACAGACCAGATACCATACATATTCATAGGCAGCGGCTAGAGGCTGGCAACAAATGGCGATCGATCGCGACAAAGCATCAATTTATTACCTCCCGAAAAAAATAAAGAAACTAGCGAAGAGAAAAAATAAAAATAAAATAAAAGAAGATACAAATTTCCTAGAAATCTGCGGGCCACAAGAAAGAAAGGTCGAGATCTCTGGCCGAATCGTACGATCGTCCGCGCGTATGTGGCGATCGTATGATCGTTGCCATCAAAGCATTTTGATGGCAACCAATTATTGCATCATGCCAAATGCAACAACTAGGCGAGCACTAGGCGGCAGTGCTCGACTAGCAGATACCCTGTCGTGCTTTATGATCATCAGCCTCCCAATATGGCAGATTGTTCTTAAATAACTTGGTTGCCTTTAAATCGATCTATGTAAAACTTTCAGGGATTGCTTCTGGCATGAAAATGTGTGCCTATGCGAAAGCCTGAAGCTCTACCTTTAATACAGAGTTCTATTCATAATTTGCGAGATGTGTTCTTAAATAACTTGGTTGCCTTTAAATCGATCTTTGTGAAACTTTCAGGGATTGTTTCTGACATGAAAATATGTTCATACATCAAGGCTTGAAGGTCTACCTCTAATACAGAGTTCTATTCTATTTTTGGAGGAAATGTTGGCAGATATCAAAAAAGTAAACTATTCCTATTTTCCGTTCACTATGCGAGAGTTCCCATATTAAATTTGGTGCATCTAGCTGGTATTGTTCTCGAGTTATGCTTAAAAAACCAAGAGTCAAAATCGATATTTATCGATTTTATGAAAATAAACGAAGATATCGAAGAGAACATGTTAAGCTGATATACGAAACAAACGTACCTGGCCTGATCAGGAATATATATGTACATATATACTATACTGGGCCCTGACAAAAAACATAATGCCTCTTTGCCCATTTACAATGGGTTCAGGGTATAACAACGAATGGGTTGTTCGAGCTCTGAGCTCCGGGCAGGTGGGCGATCTGGTTGGCTGTGTCTGTGTCTGTGGCTGCAGCAAAGATGCACACTTGTCTAGCAAAAATTGGCTCGCTTCCGCTAATGGAACCGAAAGATACGCTGCACAGTCGTCAACGTTTTGCGCACTTAGCTGCTAATTAACGTCGTGCAAAACGGCCAACGGCTCCGACAGCTCCGACGGAGCGGCCACCGGAACTGGGCTGAGACGCGGCTTAATGGCAAGGGGTGCGGGCTGAGGCGAGGGTAAACGGCTCATTCAAAGTCAGCAAACAGACGGACAGAGGGACGGACAGAGAGACGGACAGACAGACAGAGATATGCAGTTCGGGGAAAGATAGTGCAACATGCAACAGCCGAGACGAGGCACACACACACACACATATATATACATGTGAATTGCAGGTTGTACGAATCACGTATGCATGTGTGTGTGTGTAGTCTACACCGGGTGACGACGTGAGAAAATTCATGTGCATGCCACAAATTCTGTGCCGTTGCCAATGTGGGTTTTATTTTCTGTTTTTTTTTTTTTTTTTTGGTTTTCATTGTGGCCTGTCATTGATAAAGTCCAAAAAGTGCGCTTGGCAACAGCCTCGACCGACCTCGACCTCGCACAGTTCGCGTTTCCTTGCCGGTCGGCGTATTCCAAAGAAATGCTCTACAGGCAAAATTCCATTGAATTTACGAGCTCTAAACGTTTTGAGGTTAGGTTTTGCATGACGTGCACTTCTCTAGCTGAACTTGAATTGACCGTTAATTTCGCTTTCTAGCGTGCCTTAGAGAAACTCGCATACGTATAAGATCTTTGCTTGCTACGTATAACAGTTGCTGTACACACATGCATTGCGTTCATGTTTGTAGTTGTGTTTAAGGCAAATGTAATGGAAAATTTTTGAAACCACTTTTTTTTCTCGGTTTTTTTCTGTTTTTTTGGGCCTGTGGAAAATTTTGATGTACGCGTAATCATAAAGAATTACAATTAACGCTAATAGTTGTGCTGTTAATACGCATTAGCATTAACTAAGTAATATATGTATTTACTGTGCTCATATCTAGAAAACGTTCGCACTTCCTCAAACGTTCATTCATATACGACGTACGCTGTGTGTGTGTGTGTGTGTGTGTGTGCTATTGTAATTTATCAATTAA